CTAGAGAAGGACTGATTAGACTTGTTCTGAAATTGGAAATTCTTGCTTTGAGACACTGGCAAAAATAAGATCTGAATCTATCTAGGTTTTGTAAATGTGGAGTAGGTTTTACATCAGCTCCTTTGTCTTACTCCAGTGTGATTTCAAGCCAGCTCTTTCAAAACAACCTCAGTCTTAGTGCAGGCCTCTCTCGAGTGCCTTCTGTACTGCTTTTTCGTTTGGTAAATCTGTTCACAATTTTTAGCTCTCACTTAAACACTTCCTTAAAGGAAGCCTTCCTTGACCTCTTAGATTAGGTTAGGATTCAGGTATATGTTTTCATAGCACCTTGCACTTTTTCATTCCTTAAGCAACTATACATATATGGGTGTAATTATTTTTAAAATTCATTCTAATCCTCTGGCACACACCAAGTTCAGAAAATACGTGAACAACAATGAAATTAAGATTTACATATTTGTTAAAGGATTAAAGCCACATTTCAGTTATATAAAGTCAGTTTTCAGCTTAGCATCTGCTTAACAATTTTTTAAAAAGAGGAATATTGGCCTTAGAATGAAAACTTTAAGGGTCTTACTGAAGCCAGAGCTGATGCTGTGTCATCATAGTCACGATTACATTTTCTTCTTGTGTAAGTTTTGGAAAATTAATTTAGGACTTCTCAAATACTTTAATTTCACATAAGGATTAGAAATGATACCAAGAATCTTAAACCTATATATAGTTCTATTTTTTAAAAGAGATTCTTGGTATAGGGCATTTGTGCTTGCCAGAGAGACAGACTGAAAGTGAGAAATCATCCCCCAGGGGAGAGCGCCACACTACAATTCCTTCCTCCATGCTCTTGGGATTTGGGGCATGCACAGGCACCTGGTGTGAGTTGCAAGCCACCTGGGCCAGGACTAGAACTATGGTCAGCCATGTGGGAGTCCAGCAATGAAACTATTATGCCATCTCCTGGTCTCTATGGCTTTATTTTTAAATTTTGGGTTTCTGAAAGTGCTTCTAGATTAGCAGCTTTGTGATACTGAAGGTACTTTAAACCCCATTCTTGAAAGTCTGCTACTGTTTTAAGTGAGCTATCCTTATAGATAGGAAATTAAGATTATATCAGTGTCAAAATGTGTTGTATCATTGACTATCACTTATGTTTTTAAAATTTATTTAGCGATGTTTTAAAATGTACTGTTTCAGAATGTGAATGTTGTTAAGGAATGTAAATAGTGATACAATCTTGTGTTACAAGATTTTTCATTTACATGAACTTTCACTCATTTTTCAGAATCTGTTCCTAGAGACAGAGAACCCAATACAAAAATGAGAACATGTATGCATAATCAGAAGGATGCAATGCAAATGACTAGTGAAACTCTGACAGCAAAAATGGTACCTGAGAAAGTTCCCCGCAGATGTGCTACTGTTGCTGCAAATAAAATAAAGATAATGAGTAACCTAAAAGAAAGGATTTCAGGACCAGACAATGTATGGATTAGGAAGAGTAGCAGAAAACTGCCCCATCGAAATGCTTCTGCTGCGGCTAAGAAAAAGTTACTGAATGTTTATAAAGAGGATGATACAACCATAAATTCTGAAAGTGAAAAAGAGCTAGAAGATACTAATAATAAAAAGCTTTTTTTTTGGCGGTTCAGATCCTGGAAAGAAAAAGCACAGTAGTGACTACAGGAATATAGAAGTGGTATCAGAAAATTATCAGGAGCCACAAGTAAACCAGCAGTTGTGTTCTCCTAGCTCTAAAGTTAAACCATTACCGACATCTTTTGAGGAATTTTCTAAAAGCCATAATATAGTGGGTTAAAGTGGGAGAAACTCTTCTGGTTAGCTCTTGTATAGGCACACAATAAAGGGAATTCTGAGGAGGCAGTGGAGCCTATAGTCTAAAAGGGGGAAAGAAGAAAGAAAGTAAGATTGTTCCTTTTCAGAAGGCAAGAAGGGCCTTGAAGAAATTCCTTTGAGGAGGAAAATCATGAGAAGTGATTGAGATATGTAGGAAAAACAAAATTTTCAAAATCTCAACCAGTTTGATGCTAATTTTAAGTTTTTTTAAAAAAATTATTAGAGTAAGAAAGTCCGGGTCACCATGACTATGGCATCATTACCGAAATCAGAAAAAATTAGGCACATTTGTAAAGGAAATGCCGATGAACTCATTTGATTTTTGAGTGAAGCAAAAATTTCAGCCAGATCCAGTCCCTATAATTCACATCCCCAAAGGTTAGAAATGAGCCAGGACCAGGCAGTTCAATAATGATGATGCAGATTACTGAATTGTGAAGTGTAGTGTTGGAAATACGCAATCAGAACACCCATTAATGTCTTGTTTATAATGCTGGAATTCATAATGACCACTTGATGTGACTAGTTCAGGGAATATTTTTCTATGACAGCTATGAATTTGACAGCTTATTTCTTTGCACACAGCATTTATAGGTACCCAAATCTGTCTCATTAAGAGGCATGTCTGATTTTTAATCAGAAAGTACAAAGTGTATTTTGAGATCCAGTCATATTTTTAGATGATAAAGAGATTCCATCTCATGTTTCTCTTCACCTTAAAAGTTAGAACTTGAACACTGGAAAATTACTCTCTCTTCTTACTAACTTAAATGCAGCATGTCTGACCTATTTAATGTGTGTGGTCTTTGCTAGGACTAGGAAATCTGGTCATGGTTCTACCGAGAGTTTATCTGCTGTGGGGTTTAATTTGTTACAGGTATTTGTTAAAACCAAGACTGCCAGATTAAATGAACATACTGTCAAATATTTTTAATAAGTTACTGGAAAACCAGAAGCAAGTTTTCCCATTTAAAAATATTTGTGAATATCATGACTTGCATGTATAGTTCTGAAAAAATATAGAAACTTAAGGTTTCTATTTTTTTTTAAAGACTGATGCACTTTTTTTTGTTATACAGATGGACCAAGTGTCTAGGTTACTTGAGAAGTTTGTGGTTGCATGTCCATTCATAAAAAGGCTTTTTATTTTCACATAAGCCAGAATATTCTAACCTACAGAGTCTGAGTCCTTTGCTCTTTTTATAGTACACTTTCACCTGAAATACTGATCCTGTGTTGGTTTTTTTTTTTTTTTTGCTACTAGTACAGGTGAGAAAGGGAGAAATTCCTAATAAACTATTTTTTAGGTGCACGGGGTTTGATTTTTGAGCTCTAATGAAACGCTTAAACATTTCCAGTCCCAAGTTTACACTTAATTTCATAGAAGTTTCTTGTTAGTCATACTAGATCCCCAACCAGTACCATAAGTTGAAAATATTTAAGTCTTACTGAAGACTTTTATGGAAAAACTTTTTGACAATTTCAGTATAATGAAAGAATTTAAGCTTTGAATTTATTATTTACTGTGGCAGGACTAATTTCTGTCAGTATCTGAGATTGTATCAGCCTTTCATAAGAATCCCTTTTCGGGTTTAGTACTTTATTTTTTGTTTTGTTTTAAAGTGCTTGACCTAAATTTATTGTTAACTGCATGGAATAAGCATTTGTTTAAAAGTTAACATTCCTGTAATACTGTTCTCTGTAATGTATGCATATCTTAAATCATGACCAAATGTAATATCTTATTTATAATTTCAGTTTTCCAGAAAAGATCTTTTCATAATATAAATGTAAAATCAAATGGAAGATCTTACTGGTAAAAATGTCACATTACTTAACAAAAGGACTAAGACAAATTCATGCCCAAACAATCTCCTTATTCTGCAATTCAGTCACTCTATTAAATCCATTAACTCTTAATGTAGTTTTAAAATACCATACTAGTAATCTTACATAGTGTTTCACTAGGGATAACTTTCCTAAGCTCTTAATGGCGTGCAATTTGATCTTAGTTTGGTTATTCTTAATGTTCAATGTTTCCTCCAAAACCAAACAGTAAATATGTATAGCTGGTAAATACTGATTTTATGTAAATAATTTTGATTATTTCTCCACATTTTACGACTTTGAGGTTTTAATTATCTCAAGAGGCTCCCTCTGACCCCAAAGTAGTATTTTTGTGACTACTGACTGGGTTCCAAAATGCAGGCATTGCCATCTATTTCAGCACAACTAAATCTGTGAAATTTTCTGTTTTTGCATTGTATTACTGTGTATTTTCACTTTCGGTCAAATCGTTGCACAGTTGTCCCCTTTTGCTTGGAATAATGCTTCGTGAAGTTTGTCAGCATATTCTAAAGAGGAGAACCAATTCAAAAGCAGATCCATATACTATGCTTACTAACGGAAGTCCATTTAAAATGAAAACGTTGTATTAGCTATAAATAGCCAAGTTTTAAGACAACTATTTTTGCATTCTCATAAAATATTTTTAGATCAGCTTGGCAATCATCAGCGTTCAAAATGTGAATTTCTATTGCCAGAGTAAAGTTTTCATTTTTCTACCACCACGAAGCGCTGTGTTTTTTCCTGCTCTCCATCCGCCCTCGGTCCACCGCGCGGAGACGCGGTCCCCTTTGGCGGCCCTCGCCGGCCTTCTAACCTCTGGTGATGCTTGGAGCCGCCACCTATCTGGGGCGGTGGAGGTTTGGAGCAGATGTTTAATTTACTAAGCTTACCCCTAACACTCCTAACGGAAAAGAGAATAGACTGAAATAAGAGTAAGCCTGTGGAATATGCTTCCCAAGAGCAACAGATTGCGGGGCCGGCCCTTTTACCCGCAGGGTTCCGGGTCCTTGACCTGCCAGGATATAAGACTCCGCCTCCCCATCTCCGCTCCTGCCCTTCTAGCCCGCGGCCCTCCCAAGTCTGTCTCCGCAGAGCTAAAGCTGCGGAGAAAAATTGCGCTTTGGCGGCTATTGGGGTCCCAAGTGGAGCAGGAGCTTTGACGGAGCGCAGGGGCGGCGCGGGCTGCGCGGGCGTCGTGGTCGCGCTCAGAGGCCAGACCCGGCTCGGCCTCCCGCAGGGCAGCGCGTGTGGGCAGCGCGGGGGGCGTGGCTCGAGGGGGCCGTGCCGGGAGGGGCGAGGGCGCCGTGCCGAGCCGGGACCGAGGACGAGGGGGAGGAAGAAGAGAAGAGGGAGACGCCCGAGGACAGGGAGGTCCGGCGGCAGCTGGCGCGGAAGAGGTGAGCACCAGGGCGCGGGAAGTAGGGCGGTGCGTTCGGGCCCGAGGCTCCCCGGGGGAAGGAGCCAGGACGAGGGCGCGGCGTTCACAGCTCTGCCCGGGTCGGAGCCCGCAGCAGCGCGTCTCCAGGAGCCCCGCGGCGGCGCTCGGCTTGTATTTGGTGTGAGCGACAGCGGTGGGTCTGTGGGATCGTGAGGGAACCGCTGTGGGGAATTGTATCAAGAGACTTTTTTTTAGAGAAATTGCCTCCGAAACTTCCTTCAACACTTATTTAGGCTTGGCTTCGTGCAGACTTGGGAATCTTTCCACTGGTAAGAGTTTACAGGGTTACATTGTGCCCCATGATTGTCGTGGGTTTGGTTCATTGACACCCCGGTTCTCTTGAAACTTTTTAAAATTCTCTTTCTTACACTGAAGTTAGTAGCAGATGGATTCCAGTAGCAGATGAATACTCTTTTTTTAAAAAAAAAATTGTAAAGTGACCCTCAACCCTCACATAGTCATGTAAATTGAACAGTTAAAAGATTTTGCCAAAGTTTTTTCCTTCCCATTACCCCTAAGTGAATCCCAGTCATGTTAGGCTTTCTCCTATTTTTCAGGATGCAACTCAAATGATTTAGATACTTTGTTATGTATGTTATTGCCTCTAATAAAATTAATAATTTTAAAATGTTTAATAGTTCACAGTCAAATTTAGTTTTCTCAAACATGACATTTTACAGCAGTTTATGTAAGTCAGAATCCTAACTGTCATCTACACATGAGACCAGCCTCCCTCCTTTTCTACCATTGCTGAGACTTACCCTGTCCACTGTTGAATGAACACTCTGGATTTGTCTTATTGCTCCTCATGGTATCATTCAACATGTGTTTCCGTTGTTTGTATTTCCTGTATGTGAAAGTTCATTTTGGAGAGTTAGTCAGATTTATTCCCTATTTTGTGGCAAGAATGCTTAGGAATGGTGCCTTCTGTGTTTTATTGCACGCTACGTCCAGTTGTCTCACTTTTGTTTTTTAAAACTTTATTTACTTACTTATTTAAATTTTACCAGAGAAGAACAGAGTGAGCAAGAGAGAGAGAGAAAGTGAGAAGTCAAGCCACCAGGTCTGGAACTTAAACCATGGTCGGCCATGTGGGAGTCCAGCGCTCTTAACCACCATGCCACCTGCCAGCCCCGAGTTGTCTCACTTTTAAGGATGTTAAGATATATTGATCAATGAGTCAGGTGGATTGACTGATCTCTGTTGAAGAGTTCTCCATGAACTTTGTATGCAAGAGTTTGTCTATTGGTTACCATTGCCTGAGTGCACTGTTTAAGATTATAATTATGTTCATTATAAAATTAAAATTTGTGTTTTACATATTACCTACTCATACAGAAGATAGTGCCTTTTAAAATAAATCATAATAATGTGGTATGAATTACTTTTCAGTTGCTTTAGTTTCATCTTGTTTTTTGTATCAGGGAAGTTCGACTCCTTCGAAGACAGACAAAAACATCCTTGGAAGTTTCTCTGCTAGAAAAATATCCTTGCTCCAAATTTATAATTGCTATAGGAAATAATGCAGTAGGTAAGTGAAGATGCAGAAAACTAGACTTCTTTTTAATGTTACTTATTTCATTCAGAATAGAGAGCATACATGCCTATACCAGAGAGAGAGAGAGAGACTTGGGCATGCCAGCATGTGCCCAGTGTACAAGTCAGCTGTGTATCCTCCAGCACTGTAGTCTAAGGACTACATCATTACTAAGGACTGTGCACTTGGAGTTAGCCTAGAAAGATTTTTGAAAAAACAAAATATGAAGTTACATACTTCCTTCCATATAAAAAGTTTCAAACGTTTGTAACCTTGTTGAAAAGTCAGACTTTTTTTTTTTTGTAGAGGTTTCTGCTATAGGGCGTGTGTTCACCAGAAAGAGAGACACAGAGAGATAGAAAGCGAGAAATCACGCCCAGAGGGATGGCCACTCCGCAATCCCTTCTCCTCCAGTCTCCACTTGGGATCTTGGGCACACACACAGTTGCGCCTGGCGTGAGTTTAAGCTGCCAGGTCCAGGACTTGAACTGTGGTCGACTACGTGGGAGTCCAGCGACATAGCCATTACGCTAACTGCTGGTCCCATAGTAGATTTTGTTTTTGAGGAAAAAAAATACATATCTTGCTCATGTTGCACTTTTAATAAACTTAAAAACTGAGATTTAGAAAAAAAAATGTAATACACTGTAAAGCTATATGTGATTCAATGTGAAAAAAAAAAAAACCAAAAAAACCCCTAAGATTTAGGACTGACTCCATAGCCTATTAGTTAAGGGAATCAGATTCCAGTGACTAACTTCACTTAAAATACTGGCCTTGGCAGCTTGGGGCAAAAAAAAGAAAAAGAAATACCAGGTGAGTGCACATGCACAACCAAAATCCCAAGAGTATGGAGAAACGGAGGAAAAAGGCTTGCCAGCATGACCACGCTTCATCAGAGGGTGCTTTTTTTTTTCTCTCTGGTGAGTGCATCTATGCTCTGGTAATTAAAAAAATAAGATTTAAAAAAATGTTCTTGGCTTCAGGAAATTGAAACTCAAGGAATTGTTTCTAGTGAGTTGTGGTATCCAGATTTACTTGACATGTTTTCACATGAACAGATTTTGTTTGAGAACATAATGAGAACTCTAAAATTATGTTTAAGATATTTAAGAATAGTAATAATGAGTGATAATACAGACAATATTAATCACTAACATTTTCGAGCACCCAAGTTCTAAGCTCTTTGCAGTATTAATTCACTTGTTGGGTGGTTAAGTGAGAACAGTGTAGAGTTCATATAGAATCATGTACATGTTCCAGTGCACACACAGACTGAGAGATAGCCGTGCTTTGCCTAAGGACAGAGGTATACCCTGAGAAATGCATGGTTAGGTAGTTTTATCATTTTGTGAACATTGTAAAATATACTTAACACAAATCTAGATAGTATACAAAACACTTAGCTAGGAAGTATATTATTGTTTCTCTGGGCTGCAAACCTATACAGAGTGTTTCTGTATTGCAGGTAATCGTAACATAAAACATTTATGTATCTAAGCATATCTAAACATAGAAAAGGTACAGGAAAAATAGAGTATAAAAGGTGAAAAACTGCATACCTGTACAGGGCACTTGATATGAACAGAACATGCAGGACTAGAAAGTGTTGCGGATAAGTCAGTGAGTGAGTGATGAGTGAATGAGAAGGCCTAGGACATTACCGTACCTACTGTAGGCTTTATACATACTGTGCACTTAGGCTACACTGGATTTATTAAAATATTTTTCTTTAATAACCTTTGTTTACGTAAATTTTTAGCTGATAAACTTTAATTTTTAAAGACATTTTGCCTCTTCTGTAATTACTCTTAACTTAAAGTACACAGTGCCATCAGGTGGCATGGGGGTGGATCCCACATAGTTGATTTTGCAGTTTCAGTTCTGGACCTGGCAGCATGAAAATCATGCAGGATGCATATGTGTGCATGCTCGAAATTCTGAGAGGAAGACTGAAGAAGAAGGAATTGCAGCTTGGCTTCCCCCTGGGGAGTGATTTCTCACTTTTTCTTTTATCTCCGTCTCTGGCGAGCACATGTATCCTATAGCAAAAATGGAAAACAAACAGTAAATATATAAACACTTTGTACCGTGTACAAAAATATTTCCTTTTTATTTTATAAACTTTTCTGTTTTAAAGCATTCTTAAGAATTATTTCATTTTTGGACCAGCAGATGATATAATGGTTACATCACTGGACTCCCATGTAGTCAACTACAGTTTGAGTCCTGGACCCAGTGACTTAAAACTCATGTGGGGTGCATGTGTGCGTACCCAAGATCCTGAGAGGAGAATGGAGGAGAAGGGATTGTGGTATGCCCACTCCCCCAGGGGGTGAGTTCTCGCTTTCTGTCTCTCTGACAAACACATGCGCCCTATAGTAAAAGTCTCTCAAAAAAATTATTTAATTTTATTTACTAATAGTATTTTTTAGTTTTTTGCCGTAGGGCATGTGCGCTTGCCAGAGAAAGACAGCAAGAGGGAAAGTGAGAAATCACCCCCTGCATGCTGCAATTCCTTCTCCTCCATCTTCCTCTTAGGATTTTGGGCACACATGCTCATGTGCCTGGTGAGAATTTTAAGCTGCCAGATCCCACACTGTGTGAATTTTAAGCTGCCAGATCCAGGACTCGAACCACAATCAGCCGTATAGTAGTCCAACACCTTAACTGTTACCCCACTTGCTGGCCCCATTATTATTTTTTAATTTGCTCTGGGACATGTGCACTCACTAGAGAGAGCCAGAGAGACAGGGGAACTGAGAAAGCAAGCATCCAGGTCTGGGACTTGAACTGTGATTAGTCATGTGGGAGTCCAATGCCCTAACCACCATGCTACCTGCTGGCCCTGAAAAACTTCTAATTAATTATGATTTTTTTTTAATTAAAGATTTTTGCCTTAGGGTTCGTGCGCTTACCTGAGAAACAGATATGGTGAGAGGGAAAGTGAGAAATCACTTCCCATCTTAATCAGAATGTGCTGTTTCACTTATTTAGGGCCTCCATTTCTTTTTGTGTTAAGGTGGTGGTATTTGCTATGGTGTTTTTTGTTTTTGTTTTTGTTTTTTTTTTTGAGAGGTTTTCGCTGTAGGGTGCGTGCACTCGCCAGACAGATAGAGAGAGAGACATAGAGACAGAAAGCGAGAAATCACCCCCCAGCGGGAATGGCCACACCGCAATCCCTTCTCCTCCATTCTCCTCTAATCTGTAAGAAGCATAGTATAGTCCTAGGTATGATGCTGCATTCTAGTAAGTCTGTGCTTCCCAGGCTAGGACCACATGGGAGGCCTGGGTTGAATCCCAAGGTGAGGCATAGTGGGCATGCCTGTAATCTCAGCAGTTTGGGAGCCTGAGGCAGGAGGACCGTGAACTCAAGGCTGATGTGTGCACATTGTGAGTCCCTGAAAAAGAGCCAGATGTGGTGCACACCTGTATTCTCTGCTGGGAGGCTGAGGCAGGAGGACTGCCACATGGCAAGACTTCACAAAAAGGAAGAAAATTTTAGTAAATGCATAAACCAGATGATAGTTGTTGTCAAGTATTTTGTACTACTCATTATCAAATGTCTTCTTTTTATATATGACTGGCAGCATGGTAGATTTGCTTACACCAGTGTTACAACAAACACGTGATGTGATGGGATGTGATGTGATGAGTATGGGTATGATGTTACTAGGTAATAGGAGTTTTTCATCTCCAATATAATAGGGGCCCACCATCATATATGGTCCATTGTTAAAACAGTCATGTGACACATAACTGTCATTTTAGGAGGTTCAGAGGAGATCATTTGGGAACCCTAATTAAATCCTTTGCCCTGTAGGTACCCCGGTGTTTGTCAAATACAGTTGGTACACAGTAACTATTGACTTATTTGTGTAAGTTCTGCTACCCTGGCATGTTCTGGAAAAATGTTACACTGTGAGAGTATAGTGAAAAGTTTGTCCATAAACTTGTCTTCTCAACTAAGGATTGTAGATCATAGATATATAAAATAGATTCTTCTCAACTGCTGGCCTGAACACCATCTTAATCAGAATGTGCTGTTTCACTTCTTTAGGGCCTCCATTTCTTTTTGTGTTAAGGTGGTGGTATTTGCTATGGTGTTTTTTGTTTTTGTTTTTGTTTTTTTTTTTGAGAGGTTTTCGCTGTAGGGTGCGTGCACTCGCCAGACAGATAGAGAGAGAGACATAGAGACAGAAAGCGAGAAATCACCCCCCAGCGGGAATGGCCACACCGCAATCCCTTCTCCTCCATTCTACTCTCGGGATCTTGGGCACGCACGCACACGCACCCAGCATGAGTTTTTTTTAAGCCACCGGGTCCGGGATATGAACCGCGGTCGACTACATGGGAGTCCAGCGACATAGCCATTACACTAACTGCTGGTCCCTGCTATGGTGTTTTGAATGGTTCTTTCTGCCCTAAAATTCTAGAGGTGTGAGGTGTTTTTTTTTTTGTGCTCACCCAAGACATACAGAGGTAGAAGGAAATTGAGAAATCACCTGCCAGAGGGATGGCCATGCTGCAGTCCCTTCTCCTCTAGTCTCCTCTTGGAATTTTGGGCACACATGCATACACACCCTTTATGATTTTCAGGCCACTGAGTCTAGGATTTGAACTGCAGTTAGCCATGCGGGAGTCCAGTTCAGTACCTTTACTACCATGCCACCTGACGCCCCACCCCCCCAAATAGAAAATGCAGCTTACAGGGCCAGCAGTAACTTATGTTAATTGTTTTCCCCAGCATTTTTGTCATCATTTGTTATGAACTCAGGAGTCTGGGAAGAAGTTGGCCGTGCCAAACTCTGGAATGAATGGTGTAGAACAACAGACACAGCACACCTGTCTCCCACAGAGGCTTTTTGTGTGTTTTATCACCTGAAATCAAATCCCTCGGTATGTGGTATTTAACTCATACGTTTAGAAAGTCGTTATTTAAGCATTGTTTATATGTTATTTACTTGTGATCTACCTCAGTATCTCACATGCCAAGTGTCTCAGCTCTTTTGTTCATGTGTACTTTAATTTCCAGTAGTGGCTTGACTCTTAAATTTTTAAGGAGACATACATAGGCCAGTAGCAGAGTTGGGGAAGTAATTATTATCTGTGTTGTATTAGGATTCACACGATGTGTGTGTGTGTGTGTGTGGTGACAGTTTGGGTGTGTCTATAAAATTTATTTGACTTGATACAAACTTTGAATTTTTTAGGTTTTACTTTGTCAATGCAGTTGCTACGTTGCTGAAGATCAGCAATATCAGTGGCTGGAAAAGGTAAGAGAGAAGTGAAAGCTTGTGAAGGGTTGGACTACAGGGATTTCCATTTTTTTCAAAATTATTATTTATTTAATTTTATTTATTCATTTATTTTAATTTGACCAGAGAGAGATACAGAGAGAGAGAGAGAGAGCGAGAGAGAGAAAGGGATAAAGGAAGCTGCCAGGTCCGGGACTCGAACCGTGGTTGGCCATGTGGGAGTGTCCAGCACCTTAACCACCACGCCACCTGTTGATCCCAGGGGATTTCCATTTTTGAAGAGTTCATTGTTTTTTCACTTAAATCCATGTAGTCAGATAATGATGTAGAAAAGGAATTTCTTTTCTTAAAAAATGCTGTAAGAGTTTATAGGATATAAATAATAAAAGAACTTATTTATTTAACATGACCAACCTAGCAGATAAAATCAGCATTTGCTGAGGATCATAGGTCATAGATATATAAAGTTGAGTTGGATTCTTCCCACCCATGGAAAGAAAAATGAGCTGCCAATGGCATGAAACACGTGTCACAGCCAAGAGTAGAAACCCTCAGAATGATGCCTGTGGCAGATACATGGCGACAGAAGGTGTGACCAGAGTCTGCTGTTTCCTCCAGATTCCAGAAATTATACTCACTTTTCGTAGCATGAACCCTGACTAGATTTTCTTGGACACTTGTACACATAGTTTGTGCCTAGTGAAACACAATTTTGAGTGAAATATTTAAAATTTAGCTAGACATTTTACAGAAAAATACTAATTTTGGTAGTTACTTATTACTTTGAAATAACATACAGCCATACGTCTTTATAAGCTTTTAAGCAGCATCTCAACTTAAATCTTAGGTATGTGTTTATGGAGATAATAAAAATAAATTCATTAGAATGAAGAAACTTTGTGGGCTAGCCCATGCCTAGTGGCTAATGGAGCTGGAGCTCACCTGGCCAGTTGGCCAGTCATATATTTTGAATTCTAGTCGAGTGAAAAATATGCTGGGTGCGTGTGTGTGTGTGTGCTCGCGCACGCACGTGTGCCCAAGACCCTGAAAGGAAAGAGAAATGGAGGAGAAGAGATTGCAGGGTTATCACACCCCATGTGTGGGGGAGTGCTTTCTCCTTTTCTGACTCTCCGGCTAGCACACAGATCCTTTGGCAAATTTTTTAAAAAGATTACTACGTACCTGTTTAAAATCAGTTAGTGTATTTAGAAACATTTATTAAAAGTTATTAGGCTCAGGGCACCAGCAGTTAGCGTAATGCCTGTCACTGGACTCCCACGTAGTCGACTGTGGTTCACGTCCCGGACCGGTGTCTTACAACTCACGCTGGGTGCATGTGCGTGCGTGCCCAAGATCCCGAGAGGAGAAAGGAGAAGGGATTGTGGTGTGGCCATCCCCCCTGGGGGGTGATTTCTCCCTTTCTGTCTGTTTCTCTCTGTGGGTCTGGCGAGCGCACGCGCCCTATAGCAAAAATCTCTTAAAAAAAAAAAGAAAAAAAAGGTAAAAAGAGTTATTAGGCTCGGGACCAGCAGTTAGTGTAATGGCTATGTTGGTGGACTCCCATGTAGTCGAATGTGGTTCGAGTCCCGAACCTGGTGGCTTAAACTCACGCTGGGCACTTGTGCACGCGTGCCCAAGATCCCGAGAGGAGAATGGAGGAGAAGGGATTGCAGCGTGGCCATCCCCCCTCAGGGGGTGATTTTTCGCTTTTTCTTTCTGTGTCTCTGTGTCTTTCTGGTGAGCACACATGCCCTATATCAAAAACCTCTCCAAAAAAAAGAGAAAAGTTATCAGGCTCTGTTTCCCATCTCCCCTTTCACTCCTTATAGCTAGAGAACAAGGTTATGAGAAAAGGAGGACTTGGTGCGGTGCCAGCATTTCTTTTACCTTTTGACTCTGCATTTCACAGAGCCTCCAACAGCACCGTGTTAGGGCAGAGCACCAGGAGGTTCCTGACCTCTGTGGTCTGTAGGAGCCACTGTGAAGAGGGCCCAGGGAAGAATCTGCCATTTTCAGTGGAAAACAAGTGAAAGTTACTAGTTACGATGACTTTGTACTTTGCATCTGGATTTGTTGTACTCTTCTTTATAGTAAGACACCAACTTCTTAAGAAATATAGGATGTTTTAATTCATACGTTTAATATGTGAAGAATATTTTAAGAGGTACCATCACAATCTCTGGAAAATGGATTAAACTCTTAAACTCATAGCATACTAGACATGTTTGTAAATAAACTTATGGCATGAAAAAAGTTATTAAATGAATTTCATTAGGTAAGGAATTGAAGAGATCTATGAAATATCTTATAATTATGTACATGATTTTATATTCAGTGTACTTGTGTATATTTTTTTACTGAGCGATCAGATCTCAGAATATTAGGAAATAGCAGTTTTATTTTATTTTTAATTTATGTGGAATGACTGCTATGACAAGAGACTTTAATTTTTGTATTGTGAAACAAACACATTCTGCTCTTGAAAATGTGTAAGATGATGCATTTTTAAAACAAAAAATTTCAGCCTGCTGTCGAAGTTCAATGCACTGTCTGATGCACAGATCTTGCTCACACAGGATTTTTTTTTTTGGAGAGGTTTTTGCTATAGGGCACGTGCATTCGCTGGAAAGACAGAGAGAGACAGACAAAAAGCAGAAATCACCTACCGGGGGGATGGCCATGCCGCAATCCCTTCTCCTCCATTCTCCTTTCAGGATCTTGGGCACGCAAACACAAGTGACTGGCGTGAGTTTAAGCCACTGGGTCCTGGGCTTGAACCCTGGTCGACTCCATGGGAGTCCAGGGACTTAGTCATTACGCCATCTCCTGGTCCCAACTCTCACAACAAGATTTTTTAATTAACATTTTTTTTCCTGTGGATTACTTTTTGGGTCTTCCTCCTGTTGCAGTCATATCAGCCACATAATCCTGATAATTCTGCACATACCACCTAATAGGGTTCTCAAGTATTATGGATTCAGACTGTAAGTATTAAAGAGGAAAGTAAATTAAGCCTTGTGAGTAACATCATTTTTTAGAATAATTATTTTATTTAACTTTATTATTATTATTATTTTCCAGTTTGATCAGAGAGAGAAAGAGAAGAAAAGTGAGAAAGCCAGCCACCGGGTCCAGGACTCGAACCGCAGTTGGCCTTGTGAAAGTCCAGTGCCTTTAACTACCTCGCCACCTGCTGGATCCGTATTTTTTTTTTTTTTTCTTTTTTAATGTTTTTGCCATAGGATGCATGTGCTGCTGGGGAACGGGGAGTGAGAAATCACCCCCCCACACACAGAGGACGTGGCCATGCCACCATCCCTTCTCTTCCTTTCTCCTCCTGAGATTTTGGTCACATACACACACATGCCTGGTGTAATTTTCAAGCCACCAGGTCTGGGACTCAGACCCCCATCAGCCATGGGGGAGTCTAGCGCCCTAATCACCACACCACATACTGGCCCCAACATCATATTTATTAAGTAGGATGTACCTGATTATAAATGTGTATAGTATTAACTTCTTTGTGTTTATAAAGCTGTAATATAATGAAGTTAGTCTTACAAATAATTTATATCACTTAATCTTCAGTTCTTTTATTATTGGAGATAGACATTTTCTTATCTTTATAAATTTTTTTCAAACACACACTTTGTCCTTTAAAAGAATAGCTGACTTCTTTATGTCACCATAGGTTTTATTAGAAAGTGGAACAGTCTTTGGAAATTTGTTGAATCCAGACCCTGCAAATTATAGAAGTCGACTTTGAGTCTAGAGTGATGAAAACTTGCCAGGCTTGAAAAATATATTTGACAAGAACCATTGTCCAGGTGTCCCCAGTGGGTGGGAGAGGGAGCAAATGTCAGGAGTTCCTGTGCCTTACTCTGCACAGTGGTCCTGTAGGCACTTTGTGGTTGCTTTACTCATGGTTTCACTGCCTGCATGTTGTAGGCATCTTCAGTAGGCAGTGTTGTCCTTAGGTCACAGGCACAGAGGGTGACTTGGGAGGATCACCAGCTAGAAAGCAGAACCAGGGTCAGACCCAGGCGGTGCACAACAGAATGTTGTGGCACATTCCCACCCTGTAGGGCCCGCTGTTACTGTCATTGGTGCTGGGTGCATAACTAGACTGGTTTCTATTTTGTCACAAAGTTACATGTTTTAATTTGAAATCAATTTTATGTTAGGTTTTTGGCTCTTGTCCAAAGAAGAACATGCAGGTAACAGTTCTCACTTGTCGACATGTGACCGACTATAAAACCTCAGAATCTACAGGCAGCCTTCCTTCTCCTTTCCTGAAAGCCCTGAAAACACAGAATTTCAAAGACCCTACCTGTTGTTCCCTGCTAGAACAACCGAATATCGTACACGATCTTCCTGCTGCAGGTAGCATTAGAATTCGTAGCATGTACATCGTGTCTTGTTATTGCTTTGTTGATACTTGTTACTTTCACTGTTAGAGATCTTGCTGAGATAATTTATTAGTGATGATTGGTACCAATATATGGCTCTTGGTCCTTGATGTCTATAGTTACAAGTATATAGTATATTTGGGCCGAGTTTTAAAATTTTACGAACACAGTTACCTTGTAAGAGCAGCTCAGATTGCTTAACTGTTAGCTTCAGAATTGCCCTCTTTTTGGTCTTTGGCAACTTAAAATGTAAGCCAGTGCTAGAAAGTTTGGGTATTGACTCTGTCTTGGTAGTTGCTCTAATATTTGCTTTTTTTAGGGGGGTTGGGGGAGGTTTGCTATAGAGTATGTGTGTTCACTGGAGAGAGATGGAGAGTGGGAAAGTGAGAATTCCCCCCTCTCCTCAGGAGGAATGGCCATGCTGCAATCCCTTTTCCTCCTTTCTCCTTTCAAGATTTTGGGCATGCATGCATATGTGCCCAGCATGATTTTGAAGCTGCTGAGTCTGAGACCAAACTGCAGTCTGCCATATGAGAGTCCGGCATCCTAACCAATGTACCACCTGCTGGCCCCAATGTAAAGAAGATTTGTTTTTGCCTTTAATGTTAAGTTAACTATTGGGTTGTTTGGAAAGTCATGACACATTTTTGCTTAGAAAAACACAGAAAAATACATCATAACTTTCCCCACGACTTAATAGAAGAATAATTAGCTCATTACTTGACATTAAGCATTATGTATTTATTTGTTATTTACATGTGATTTACTTTATTATAGTCAAAATTTTAAACTTTCAATGAATTAAAATTATCTCAGCGGGGCCAGGAGGTAGCATGATGGTTGAAGTGCTGGACTACCATATGGCTGAGTACGATTCAAGCCCTGGACCCAGTGACTTGGAAATCACCCTGGCTGCATGTGCGTGCATGCCCAAAATCTTGAGAGGAGAATAGAGAAGGGATTGTGGCATAGCCATCTCCTCAGAAGGTGATTTCTTTTTCTATCTGTCTCCAGTGAGCACATGCACCCTATGGCAAAACAAAAAATAAAACTATCTCAGCAGTGGGCCAGTAGGTGGCATGATGGTTGATCAAATTCCAGACTCAGTGACTTAAAAAAAAAAACCAAAAAACAGGTGCGCATGTGTGTGCCCAAAATCTAGAGAGGAAAATGGAAAAGAGGACATTATGGTTTGGCCATCCCCTGCAGAGGGTGCTTTCTTGCTTTTTCTCTTTTCCTCTCTCAGGTGAGCACAAACCATATAGCAAACTATTAAAAAAATAAAAAAAATTATTTCATTAGTGTGCTCTGGAAATGCAAGATAAATAAAATAGTTGCAAAATGAAGAGATTATAAGGAAAATAAGTTGGCTTTGAAAGAAAATACACTTTATAATTGGTTCAAAATGACAGTAGATGCTTTGATTAAAAGAAGCTGAACTGACCCCATGGCCTAGTGGTTAAGGGAACTAGATCTCATGTGACTAACCTTCCAGTTTGAGCCTAGGCCCTGGTGGCTTGAAAAACATGCTGGGTGTGTGTGTGTGTGTATGTGTGTGTACACGCGCATGCACACACCCAGGATCCCAGCAGGATGAAGAAATGGAAAAGGGATTGCAGTGTAGTTATGCCCCGTTGGGATGCTTTCTCTTTCTCCCTGTCTCTGATGAGAGCATGTAGCCGCTAGTAAATAAAAAAGAAAAAATGGGCAACCAAGATGACTGTTTTATTTAATTAATTTAGTTTTAAGTTAAATTTCTTAATTGACATATAAGAATTGTACACAGATAATTCTGTTCTGATGTTGTGTTTTTCTGTGTGATTTCAAAAATCTACGTTACTTATTAATTTGTTATAGGGCGTGTGTGCTTGCTGGAGAGGGATATAGAGGAGGATAAAGTGAGAAACTAGGGATGGCCATACTGAAACCCCTTCTCCTTTTTCCTTCTTTTCAGGATTTGGGCATACATGCACATGACTGATTTGTTTTTCAAGCTGTCAGGTTTGAGACCTGAACTGAGTAGTCAGCCATGTGGGATTCAGTCACCTTTACCACTATGCCATCTGGTTGTCCTGAAATGACTATTTTTAAAAGCAGCCTTTATTCTTTAAAGGTTTTTGATTTAACAATCTAAAGGAGAGCTTAAGTGTTTTTTCTTTCCTTGTATATTCATAGTTCTGAGTTACTGTCAAGTATGGAAAATCCCTGCCGTTCTGTACTTGTGTTACACTGATGTGATGAAATTAGACCTAATTACAGTTGAAGCTTTTACATCTATACTGTCTTCCAGAACCTTGAAAGGTTTGGTTAAGGTAAGATTTTAACTCACTTGAATTAATAGCTGAGCTGTATGAATCTAGTAAGAAACATAAGTGGAGTGTGGTTCAAGTTACCATAGCGTGTATTCACCTGTTTTTTTTAGGACTGGAGATAGAAAGTTGAGAGCTACTAATTAGCATGTTCCTTGCTCTTAGTTTGTATCTGTAAACTCATTCTATAGAAATATATATATCTTAACACAGACATACAGATATTTGTGATTCTAGGAAACCATTTTGACACTCTCCTTCTTTCTCTAAGAGATTTGTTAAAAGTCCACAGCCCCTAGTTGAAGGATACTACTTCTGAGGAAAGAGATTATAATATTGTTCCATAGCTCTCTTTCATTTCTGGATTAACTATTTGTGTTAAGACTTTTGTTTTAAGTTCTCTTGGAGTTAGTTTATTTCACAGGTTCATAAATTTGTGATTGATTAGATTATACTGGACCACATTTTTTTCACTTTAGTGTCTTTGGTACACCAGATTTTTGGCATGCAGAAAAAAGTTTTTGAGGGCTGACCCCAGAGTGCAGTGGTTAAGCACTGTACATAGGAAGCCAGATCCCACATGGCCAACTGTGATTCAAATCCCATCCCTGGCAGCTTGAAAAACATGCTGGGTCTGTGTGCATGCATGCCTAAAATTCTGACAGGTTGGATAGTGGAGGAAAAAAGACTGTGGTGTGACCATGTCCCATCCCCTCTCTCCCTTTCCCAAGCATGTATGCCTTCTGAAAATTTTAAAAAAAAGGGCTTAGGTTACCGTTCGTTGAATTAATGAAGAGTAAAACCATAAGACTCTAGTATAGTTTATCTTTCAAGTTAGCTAGAGTTGTGGATAATCTTTCTGACAGATTGAGTTATTTTATGGTAAGCATCTCTTTTAGGATATATACTAATAGTTTTGTTTGTCTCTGTGGTTAGCTGACTGGGCTCATCCCCATTTTGCTTAGTACACTAGTGCTTCATAAGCATTTGGACCTATTCTGATCATTGCAAATCAGCTTGCCTCGAGTGTTTAAGTGTACTTCAGCTTTTTAAAAAGTTTTTTTAAAAAACAGTTATTTAATTTTATTTATTATTGTTATTATTATTTTTAATTTGACCAGAGAGAGAGAAAGGGAAAGTGAGAAAGTAAGCTGCTAGGTCTGGGACTTGAACTGTGGTTGGCCATGGGGTAGTACAGCATTTTAACCACCATGCCACTTGTGGCTTCTGTACTTTAGCTTTTAAGAATATTCCTTGGAAGGTAAATTTAAATAACTCCCAAACATTTTCATTTCTTTTTCTTTTTTTTTTTTTTTTTTGTTGTTTGTTTGTTTTTTTCAAAGTGATTTTTGATATAGGGCACGTGTGCTTGTGAGAGAGCAACAGAAAGTGAGAAATCACCTCCCAGTGTGGATGACCATGCTGCAATCCCTTCTTTATTTTCCTCTTTGGGTCTTGGGCATGCAGGCATACATGCCTGGCATGAGTTTTAAGCTGCTAGGTCTGGGACTTGAACTATAGTTGGTCATGTGGGAGTCCAGTGATGTAATCATAATGCCATTTGCTGGTCCCTAACCATTTTCATTTCTTGCTTTCAAGATAAAAAATTTCAGGAAGGTGAGATTTTTTAAAAAAATATTTTTTTATTTTATTATTATTATTATTATTATTTGCCATAGGGCACATGCACTCACCAGAGGAGACTGAGAGAGGGAAAGTAAGAAAGCAAGCTTTTAGGTGCTGGATTTGAATCACAGTCAGCCATGAGGGAATCCAGCGCCTTAACCACCATGTCACCTGCTGGCCCTAAGATGGTTATTCTAAAGAGCACAGTTTTCTCAATGACCGAAGGTGGTTATCTAGAATTAGTTCATAGCTTCTCTCCATTTAGAAGTGGTATTTGTTCAACAAAATTTGATTAGCTGGAGTAGCTTCCACCACTGTGGGCCTCCATTGTTTCGTTAGCTTTGTGGGCAGTGATTGTGGTGGCCTACTGAGGGCGGCAGGAGGCTGATCCAAGGAAAAGTATCCTTGAGAAGGTGGCAACTGAGTTAAATTGAAAAGATGGGTGAATTTTAGTGGGCAGAGGAAGCAGTGTGAGCGGGGTCAGGGGCAGGTTTGAGGTGTGTTTGAGAATGGGGGTAAGGAGTTCAGGTTCAGGGGGAGAGGGAAAAAAATCACAAGGAAGGGTCTGTTGTTGTGGTATAGCTGAAGGAGTATGAGCCCAGGGGGCACCACGAAGAGTCTTGGGTAAGAGAATGGCACTCTAACTGAATTCTTGGTCTCACTGTATCCTTCACAACTCTTTCCTCTCCTTCTAGAATATTCCCCAGAGCACAGAAATACTGAGGAAATTGATGACAACAAATGAGATACAGAGCAACATATATACGTGATCCTCTGGTGATCTTGGAATGTATATTATCTACCCATCGCTTTAAGGGGAGTAGCGTGCACTGTTTTATAGGTTATTTTTGGGGAGGGCATGGTATATTTTGAGGGTGAGAAAACAATAAATTTATAAACAATCACAGTTTTTATTTCTTATTTATGATGATATTGTTGACAACTGAAATAAACCAGGCATTTTTCTCCTATCCACTAGGTGGAAGTTTTGTTTTATTTGAATATTATTGTTAAATTTTTGAAAAGTAAAGATTTCAACAGGTTGTATTAACAATAGAAGTTCGATTAAGCCAGTTGCTTCAGGATGATGAGGAGCGTAGTAAGATCAGTGAATTCCACGAGCATGAAACCATTGCCACACTTCGGCCTAGCTCAAAGAGAGGTCTGGCCTTTGCCTTCAGCTTCTGGTAGATAATCTTTAAACCCTTGGTCAGAAGCAATGCTGTGAATAGAATACTAGAAGAATACTAGAACACTGTGATAGTGAATGAAGCATTTTGTGACCCCATTGGTGGTAGTTTTGGCAGAAGTATTATGTGCAGGGAAGGCAATCCATATCCAGAGTGTCTGCTTCAGTAAGAACAAAACACTGTCCCTTCCATGATGGAAGCAGTCCAGTGTAATCAACTTGTTGCCAGGTAGCTGGCTGATCACCCTGGGGAATGGTGCCATATCTGAGACTCAGCGCTGGTCTCGGCTGCTCTGGCAGACTGGGCACTTAGCCGTGGCTGTCATCAGGTCAGGCTTGGTGAATGGACGTCCATGTTGCTGAGCCCCTGCATAACTACATCCCTGCTACCATGGCTACTCTGTTCATGAGCCCATTGGATGATGACAGGTGTGCCTGGGGAAAGAGGCAGACTGGTATTTATAGAATAGGACCTCTGCTGAGGTTACCCTTTACCCAAGTATCTTCTTTGCTTTTGCCTACTAAGATCCACTAAGATGTCCATCCACTGCTTTTTTTTTTTTAAAGAGAGTTTACTATAGGGCGTGTGTGCTCCTCAGAGAGAGAGAAAGAGAAAACTCACCTCTTGAGGGGATGGCTATGCCATAATCCCTTCTCCATTCTCCTCGAGATCTTGTGCATGTACGCACACATGCCCAGTGTGAAGCTTAAGCCGCCTGGTCTGGGACTCAAACTGTGGCTGACTACGTGGGAGTCCAGTGACATAACCATTCCACCATCTACTGGTCCCCATCCACTACCTCTTGCCCAAATTTTTTTGTCACCAATTTTCTAATCCTGCTTCTTCTAAGTTCCTGACCATCCAGACAGACTGTTGGTCATAGCCCATGAGTCAGCAAATGATCTCATGTATTACCATTTCTCTTTTCAAGCAAAATGAACAACCAAGTGCACTGTGCTAAGTTCTGCCCACTGAGATCTCCCATTACCACTATCCTCAAGGATGTCCCAGGGAGGGCTGTAGTGCTGCAGCTGTCCACTCTCAAGGGCTTTTGCATGTGGTGTGGAACCATCTGTATACTGGGTCTTTGTCAGCTGATCATGGGGGATTTCCCATGAAGTCTGAGGTAGGGCTAGAAGAGAGAAGGCAGTATAATAGGAATAGGAACCGGGGGCATGGACTGCTTCTTTGTGTAACTTAACCTGTGCCTTCAGGGCATGTTTGGACCCAGTCACAGATATACCACTTCATTTGATGAACTGCTCCTATGCACACCCAACCTTATGGCTTGGTGGGTCAGATAATTTCCAGTTCATGATGGGAAACTCGGGTAACAGTAACTGAGTGGCTGATAACTGAATGTCCATTCACCAGTAAAAGGCCCAATAACAAGCCAAGAACTGTCTCTCAAAAGGTGAGTAGTTACCTGCAGATGATGGCAGAGTCTTGCTCCCAAATCCTAAGGGCTCCCACTATAATTCATCTAAGAGGTTTGCCAAAGGCTGCAAACAGCATCTGCATCTGCTGCTGGAGCCTAAAGTACCATTGGATCTGCAGGATCATATGGCCTAAGTGGAGAGCAGCATGCAATGCAGCCTGGACCTGTAGTAGAGCTTTCTCCTGTTCCAGGTCCCCCTTGAAAGTAGCAGCTGTGTCAGCCAGTGGTGCAGCAGTAACAATGCTCCGTGATGCTAGACTCAAGATGAAGACGTTCTGGGTTCACAGACTGAGTCCTCCTTGTGCACGCTGAGTGCATGTATGCCTGTGATCCTGGTTGATTGAGGCTGGGGGTGGGTTGTGGCCCGATTATTGAGGGTGATATTTCTCTCTTTCTTACGGAAGAAATAAATCAAAAATTAAAAAGCATTGCAGCTTTTCAGGTTATTTGATGAGCTGGAGTAACACATCCAGCATACAGGTAGCTTAGTTTCCTGGAGAAACAGTAATTAAAGACAAAGATTGTTCCTAACTGAACAAAGGCTTGAGTCTAAGTTAAAAGCCCATCAGTTGTGAGAATGAAGGTATAAAAAGCTGGATGTATTGAAATTTAAGGCCAAAGAAATCATTGTAAGCTAAGCAGGCAGATTAAAGGATTACCTGTCTTCATTAGTGACGCCTGTCTTAACACCTACACTCAAACTTGTTACGAGTTTGTGGCTGTGTGGTACTTCTAGTTTGGGTCATGCACCGCTAATCTTTGCTCATGTCTTTATGTTCGTGTGTCTGAGGCAAGTGGCTGGGCCCTGGCTAGTCTGTGATAGCCTCGGAAATGATGTGACTTGTCTGTGTTGGGGATTTTAAATGGTGATTGCAGAGGAACAAGAGAGGAAACATGCATTTGCTCTTTCAAGCCTCTGCATCTAGTTTGCTGCGGTCTCAATGGTCAAAGCAAATTTAAGGCCAAAGAGGCCAGAGGCAGAATGGGCGGGCACCCCCGAAATGTATGGCCATTGGAGGATGTGATGTATTTGGCTCATTATAAAATCTGGCTCTCTGGCCTGGTGGTTTAGGCAGCTGTATCCCATGTGACCAACTATGTGATGTCTGAGTCCTAGAGTTGGTGGCCTGAGAAATACAGCAGGCACATGTATGTATGCCCATAATCTCAAAAAGAGAGAGAAATAGAGGTGAAGGGATTGTGACATGACCATTCCCCATGGAGGGGTACATTCTTCTTGCCTTTTTCTGTCTCTGTCTTTTTGATGAGCACATATCCTCTGGCCCTTCCCCCCCAAAAAAAATCTGCTACAGTCTACTCTCTGACCAGTTACTTATGCCCCTCCCACATGGAAAACATGCTCACCCCAGTCCTAGGATAGCCAGTTTCATCAGTTAGGATATCAGACTTGAAAGCCAAGATCTTATAATCAAGATCAGGCAGGCCCAGATGTATCTTCTTTTGGTACTCGAACCTACCAACTAAATGGACAAGTTTCTTCTCTCTACTTACCTAGTATGACCACCTGCAATGAGCACTAACATTTGAAAAAGAAATGAGTAGAACACAATATGGCAGTCACTGTTCTGACAATGTTGCAATTCTATAGAGCAAATATTACCAGTCCTACTCTGGGAATGACAAGTGTTCCTTGGACCCAGTATCTATTCTCTGGCAGTGACTCTCCAGTCCTGTTCTTGGCTTTTTAAAAACTGTCCTCTTTTATCACATGCCTTTCCTGCTTCCAAAAAAGGGTCTTTGTTACCAGCTGAGTAGTTTATTTATCCATAGAAAGAAGTGTGTGTGAAATACAACACCCATACAACTGTGGGTTTTCTATGTATTTAATTATAACCCCTCCCTATGCTCCAGAAGTCACACTGTCAAGAACTAAAGGGAATGGGACTTTACCCTGTGCACACACTGATAGGTAAGTCTGTCAGAATTTCATGTATCCTGGTATGACACAATATTCCTAGGTTAGGGACAAAGCCTTTTATTTTAGCATGACAAGAACCATATCTTCATGTTTTATAGTTTTCATCCCCCAAATCCCATGGGGATGATGCAGGATGGTCCAGGTGGGTGCATTACAGCCAAGGAACCTTGCCCTTAGGAAATCATCTTTAAAAAAAAAATTTGATAGCACATACGCTCACCACAGAGAGAGAGTGAAAAAAGGAAAGTGAGAAGCGCTTTCCTCCTGTGAGGAACGGTCACACCATAATCCTTTCTTCATTTCGCATCCTTTCAGGATCTTGGGCGTGCATGAACATGCACCTGGTGTGTTTCTCAAGCTACTTGTCTGAAACTTCAACCAAATGGTCGACCATGTGGGATCCCAGCTGCCTTCACCACTGTGCCATGGGCTGACCTCCCAAATCTTTTGATGGGCTTTACGCAAACCTGCCTTTTGCTCTGGGAGATAGCATCTCTGTCTTTCAAGAGTGTGCTGTATGAGCAGCCTGAAATAGGTAGTACCTGTGCTCTCACGAAGTGCAGAAATGTGAGAGACCCATGAATTGTCTCTCAATAACTTTCACCCCTTGTGTCTACACTACTCTATCAGCCACTCTAATTACTCTGATCAATAGCATTTGCTTGGATTGATGTGGACATGAAAGAGAGGAACCCAGGACAAATCCCAGGTTTACGGGCTGAACAACTGTTTGTAGATTGCATCAGCTGAGATGAAGGGGTGGGTGGTGCTACAGGTGGAGAGAAACTCAAATGATCTGATTTGGATACATCAAATTGGAGGTGTCAGACAGTCAAGTGGAGATGTGGATTAGGCAGATGGACCGCAAGCCTACTGTTTGAAAGAGAGGTCCTGGCTAGAGGTTAAAGTTAGGAGTCTGCAGATGATGTATTTAGTGCCTGTCTGGACAAGATCACCAGGCAATGACTATAGATAGAAAAGGGGGTGGGGGGACAGCTGTGGTGGCATAAGTGGTAGGGCACTGCTGTGCGTAGCTGGGGCCATGTGGGAAGCCGAGGTTTAGATCTCGTACCAACCCAAACAGGCTGGGTATGTTAGCATTGGCCTCAATCCTAGCTGACTGGGAGGCTGAGACAGAGGAGTGCAGCAGTAAGACCCTGTCCAAAAGATCACTCTTTCTCTCCAGTCCTCCTCCTCCTGCACCTGCTCTCACACATATGAATTCTCTCATTAAAAAAACAAGGGGGGGTGACCAGCAGATGACATAGTGGTTATTTTGCTGGACTTCCACATGGCTGACCACAGATCAAGACCTGGACCCAGAGGCTTGAAACCCATTC